AATACTTCAGATTCGTTCTTCAGACACCATCAGCCACAACCTACTGTGATAGAGAACAAATCAGACTACATCAGAAGAAGAAATCGCAAAGAAGTACTGGAATTGGATAGGATACACATTGAAGAAAGCAGCCAACTGGGTCACAAGACAATCCCCCTTTTGGAATCCTCAAAGCCCAAGGAGAAGTGCAATATCATAAACACATTACGCAGAAAAATGGAGACAGACATGGGAAGAATGAACAAATATTGGACTTATCTTATTTTGATCTTGTTTTTATGGTTTGACCTACAGCTAGCTTGACAAGGTCGTTCTTGCTATTCGATGAATATGTGGGTGGACCGGTTAGTCAATTTATTCTCTTTGACATTTGCGAATTTTAAAAATTTTAGATGGGTTACCTAGTTCTTCTCTTCATAATACTTCCGTATGTTATCGTGAAACTCAATTTTTACTTGGTTCGAGCTGTTGTCATTGCCCCGTTTGGTCAAACTGTGCATAATCGAATATCTACTGGGATATAATCTAATAGAGCTAATTCAGCCTCTGACCTCAACGCAATACCTACATATGTGGGGCCACGGGAAGCAGCAATAGGACTTCCAGACTCACGAGGCGTGCCTCTTGTAACATGTTGCTATTTGACAATAAATTATTATTATTAAATGAAGATGGCCCTTCATCTGGACAAGGAGCTGTTAAATGAATGATCCTACTCCTATCCTGTGTACGCATGCATCGATGGCATGTGATCCTAAATTACTAGCTAGGGAAGTTTGTTCTTCTACCTTCCTCAGGGTCGGAACATTATATGCCCCGACACGTAGATTCGAGCGTTGTTTCAGGAGACCAGGAATAACGTTTCACTGAGAGGTGTAGGAAGGATTTCATTGTGACAGTTCGGTCTTGTGTGCTGTTGCGTCAGTGAGGACGTATGTTACTACGCATTCGCCCACACTTCGGAAGGCTACTTCTTGGGAAACCTGATAAGGAAGTTCTATTAGTGTTGGTCTTGGCGACCTGGGAGCGTAACTGTAGAGACCAAGAAGCACCTGCCTCGGAACTGCCACGCATGGATTTCTTGTGAAAAATTTGTAGTGTTAGCTCCGCCCTTAAAGAGGCCTTAATGCCAGATACTCAGATCCTTTGGGAAAGGTCAGTTGTGACATTTTTAGGATCAACCTTTTCTAACCCTTTCATTCCTTGTGAGGAGGTAGAACCTCTGAAAATGAGGGTTGTCAGTGCGAAACATCTTACTACTGTCACACCTCTCTACAGTAACTAGTGTGACTTCGCATTCACACCTTGACTTAAAAGACACTGTTCTACGACCGACCTACCTGGCATTGTAGGACATAAAGTAACATATGTTCCAGCTAGCAGAGCTCTGTTTGGTCATCACGACAGTAAACCCCACCACTGCCACGGTTGGGCGAAGAATACAGAATTTGATGCCGTTGTCTAATGAATTTGTTTTGTAACCTAAGTAGTGGGACTCGACTAAATTACCAGGTTTGTAAAGATGGTAGTAAACGACTCATCATATTTAGAGCAGACATGTACTGCAAGCCTAGCAGTTTCACACTGATATAACCCACAAGTAACCATAGCAGTAGATGCCCAGTAATGTTTTTTCGGTCTAAATGTGACATAGAACACTTCTTTCGTATATCACCTACATTTAATAATCGCACTACAACTACTCAGACTATACAGTACAAGATACCGAAATGAACTATACATATTACTTTAAATACTTAAGTCTACTCAGAAGACAGAATATGGGTACGTGACACATATCAACGGACACTTACATGTTCTCAAAGTTAGTGATGCAGGTACATCAGCATTAACTAATAAGAATCAAAAGATTACCCCTTGCAGTGTGAAACTTAGTCCTCTATATATACTGCAAGTACAAGTTATTGGTATACCTTTTATACATTTTTAAATGTATATACAGAAAAATAAATAAAGCTTTACAAAGTTGAATGAATGCAGTTTACTAAATTACTTGAAGTAGATAAGTGATCATTCTGGTATATGATTCCCCAATTTCGTGTTGAATTTACCCAAAGGAAAAGTTTTAGTCATGGTTTTCAACAGTTCGATTGAGAAACTGGTTAATCTGTTGTCGTTTGGTATAAGTTATTCTGAGTGAAGCTTTCTGAAATCAAGGACACCAAAAGTTAATTATATTTGAATTCATCATAAACTCCAGAAGTAATTATGTAGTTTGGCCAAATTTAACTGACCTAACTCAAGCTTAGGTAGCATGAAGTTAAGTCTTGGTGGCAGTCCATCGGGATACATCTTTATCCGTAATGAATTCATTACCTATAAGGCCACCTGGAAAATACAGTAGCCTGAATTAAAAAGCACATTCACATTCCATGAAACATTATTGCAAGATAAACACTTATTTTCTAGGGAGCCCCAAAATTTGGTAAATCAGAGCAGGCCAGGGATATCTTGGTGCTCAGCTGCTAACTACAAATTACTAAGGATCACTTACGAGATCGAGTGATAACAGACCAATATCTTCCTTTACGTTTTCACGAGACTGTCTGCTATACTTACCTGATGATAAAGTTTGACGTGATTTGGAAAATACCCTAATATGAGACCACTATTATGCAGCATGAATCGCTCCGTGATCTTATTTGGGCAATTTGACGCGTGTAATTAGAAGCCATTTATGATAAAAATTCACGGTACTGCGACAATAAGCACAATATCAATCAACCAATCGAAAAAGTACCGTAACTATACGTTACAACACAGATAGTATAAATGACATATGAGTATAAAAATTGATGACTATTAAAAGGCCATGAGGGCTCTGAAAAGCACAAAAGACAGAAAAAAGCAAACAGAAAAGTATCTCGACATATAGTAACACAAATAAATGGTAGAACTGCAAGGAATCGACGAAGAAAAAAAATTAAGAAAAAATGAAATCACAATCTGACAAGTATTAGGAGCGCGACAAAATACTAAAACTTTGTAAAAGATGGTGCATTTATTACAGGAGACTAGAACAACCAGTCAAAACATGACTCTGTTAAAAAAAGCTAATATGGGATAAAAATAACACTATAATTAAAACAAGTGGTAAAACGATAAAAAATAAAAACAGAAAATTGCGAGGGCGCGCAAGTCCATTGACAGTGACTAAAGGAACAAAGCGTGAATGTAATGAAAACGTCCAAGGAGAGTATACTACACTCAGTCTAGAGATGCAAAAACATGGGAAGAGTCTGCCTATATGGTCTAAACGGAGGATGATTAGATATCAGATAAAAGCACGCCCGTGAGAAAACTAGTTAGATAAAAAGTGATCACACGCAAAGCTATTCAAACCATGCTCTGGTAGTTAGATCTTCATTTATAAATAAAGCCGAATTCTTCCTGGGGTCAAGAAGTCGATGTTCCTTCTAACAACTAGATCAACCATTATTGTAGGTACATGGAATGTTTGAGAGGTCAAGGAATATTTCGAGTTATAGCGCACGGACGTGCAAGAACAAAACACGTGAGTAGATCACTTTGAAGAATTGTATAGACCAATCCCACTGAACTCACCCAAAATCGAGGTGGCACATACAGAACGTCTAACTGATGTTGACCCACCGACAATTGAAGAAACCAACAGGGTCATCAGATAAATTAAGAGCGACAAAGCTACAGGACCAGACAACAAACCAGCTGAGGCGCTGAAAGCAGATATAATAATAACTGCAGAGATGTTCCATACACTCTTCAATAAGACTTGGGAGGAAAAACAAGTACCAACAGACTGGAAAGAAGGACACCTCATCAAAATACCAAATAAAGATCTCTGCAAGTTTGGAAACTATGGTGGCATCACTCTCTCAATACCAGGATGTCCTCAACAGAGCGTTGTTGGACAGGCTAGATTCTGCAAGGATCGATGGTGTACTGACCAAATCTCGACATTATAAATTATTATGGAACAATCGATTGAACTGAACTCACCATTGCACATCAACTTCCTTGACAACGAGAAGGCATTCAACAGCTTGTACAGGATGACACTATGAAGTGCCACAGACGATAGTCAACATCATACGGAATTTCATGATGGACTACACTGCAAAACTGTTCAGGGTCGCTCACATACTAATTCCATATAAAACCAGTGTCAGACAAGTTTGCTTATTCCCACCCTTTCTCCTTCTTCTGATGGTCGGATAGATTATGAAGACACCAACATCTGAGGGGAAGCACGAGACACAGTTGAGATTCGGGATGCAGTTGGATGATCTGAACTTCTCTGATCACCTGGCCCTTCTATCTCACAAACAACAGTAAATACAGAAATAAGACGACCAGTGTAGCAGTAACCTCTGCAATAGCAGGTCATAACATGAGAAAGGAAAAAACAACATTCTCAGATACAACACAACATGCACCAACCAAATCACAATTTACAGTGAAGCACTGGGATATGTGGAAATGTCTACATATCTGGGCAGCAATATTAATGAGCTCAGTGGATCTGATGCAGATGCGAATGCGTGGACGTGCAGATCAAGGCCAGAATTTTGGCAATTCAAGAACATATGGAACTCAAAACATCTACCAACAACACCAAAGTCAGAATTTTCAATACAAATGTCAAAACAGTCCCACTGTATAGGGTGGAAACTTGAAGAAGGTACTAGTGTTTCCCAACAGTTGTATGCGCAAAATACTTCAGATTCGTTCTTCAGACACCATCAGCCACAACCTACTGTGAGAGAGAACAAATCAGACTACATCAGAAGAAGAAATCGCAAAGAAGTACTGGAATTGGATAGGATACACATTGAAGAAAGCAGCCAACTGGGTCACAAGACAATCCCCCTTTTGGAATCCTCAAAGCCCAAGGAGAAGTGCAATATCATAAACACATTACGCAGAAAAATGGAGACAGACATGGGAAGAATGAACAAATATTGGACTTATCTTATTTTGATCTTGTTTTTATGGTTTGACCTACAGCTAGCTTGACAAGGTCGTTCTTGCTATTCGATGAATATGTGGGTGGACCGGTTAGTCAATTTATTCTCTTTGACATTTGCGAATTTTAAAAATTTTAGATGGGTTACCTAGTTCTTCTCTTCATAATACTTCCGTATGTTATCGTTAGGGTATTCCCGTTTCTAAATGATATCCATGCATAGGAATTCATAAATTACCTACTTGTCACCGCAGGTAGAAAATAACTCATCTGTCAGTTAATTATTATTTGCTTTATGATGGAGTTTCGAGACAGTCCATAGAAAATCGCCTGTGAATAAATACATCTCACATTATGATCAAACGTACCTTTAGTCCGTGGTTCCAATACCCTTCACGACCTAGTACAAACCAAATGATATCTTCTCAATGAATTATTGTTCTTTCTGTTGGGTTCTAGGTGCTTGGTATTTTTCAATGGATGGTAGTTGATCCCTAGGTTTTCCTACCTAGTTTAACCTAATTGTTATTGATTCTTTTCATAGCTGCAACTATGTTTGCCTCTGCCTTTCCTTTGAATGTTCCATGTTAAGGCTCTCGTGATACATTTCATTGATTTCCGCAATCTTTATCCCGTCGACCCCGATGGTACTTTTCTAATTTACTCATCTGAAGTCTATTTTTATAATAGTTTTCGAAGTCTCAGCTCTGTACATCAGGACTTTGATGTTGTCGGACAGGCAGTTGTTTTGAATTCCAGATATTAACCACTTGTAGAAATAAGACCCTTGTTTTACCGATTCTTCTCTTTAGATCTATATTAGAAACACCATACTGATTAATACAGCTGCCCAGATATGTAGACATTTCCACATATCCCAGTGCTTCACTGTAAATTGTGATTTGGTTGGTGCATGTTGTGTTGTATATGAGAATGTTGTTTTTTCCTTTCTCATGTTATGACCTGCTATTGCAGAGGTTACTGCTACACTGGTCGTCTTATTTCTGTATTTACTGTTGCTTGTGAGATAGAAGGGCCAGGTGATCAGAGAAGTTCAGATCATCCAACTGCATCCCGAATCTCAACTGTGTCTCGTGCTTCCCCTCAGATGTTGGTGTCTTCATAATCTATCCGACCATCAGAAGAAGGAGAAAGGGTGGGAATAAGCAAACTTGTCTGACACTGGTTTTATATGGAATTAGTATGTGAGCGACCCTGAACAGTTTTACAGTGTAGTCCATCATGAAATTCCGTATGATGTTGACTATCGTCTGTGGCACTTCATAGTGTCATCCTGTACAAGCTATTGGATGCCTTCTCGTTGTCAAGGAAGTTGATGTGCAATGGTGAGTTCAGTTCAATCGATTGTTCCATAATAATTTATAATGTCGAGATTTGGTCAGTACACCATCGATCCTTGCAGAATCTAGCCTGCTGATCTTTCATTCTGTCCAACAACGCTCTGTTGAGGACATCCTGGTATTGAGAGAGTGATGCCACCATAGTTTTCAAACTTGCAGAGATCTTTATTTGGTATTTTGATGAGGTGTCCTTCTTTCCAGTCTGTTGGTACTTGTTTTTCCTCCCAAGTCTTATTGAAGAGTGTATGGAACATCTCTGCAGTTATTATTATATCTGCTTTCAGCGCCTCAGCTGGTTTGTTGTCTGGTCCTGTAGCTTTGTCGCTCTTAATTTATCTGATGACCCTGTTGGTTTCTTCAATTGTCGGTGGGTCAACATCAGTTAGACGTTCTGTATGTGCCACCTCGATTTTGGGTGAGTTCAGTGGGATTGGTCTATACAATTCTTCAAAGTGATCTACTCACGTGTTTTGTTCTTGCACGTCCGTGCGCTATAACTCGAAATATTCCTTGACCTCTCAAACATTCCATGTACCTACAATAATGGTTGATCTAGTTGTTAGAAGGAACATCGACTTCTTGACCCCAGGAAGAATTCGGCTTTATTTATAAATGAAGATCTAACTACCAGAGCATGGTGTAAATTGCTTTTCCGAGTCAAATGCCGCCCTAAGGTCGAGAATTACTACTATTGTGGAACCTCTGGACTCTTTTGTCCTGACTTAGTGTTGATATTTTGTCTATACATCCACAACCACGTTTGAAACCAACTTGGTTTTCTCGAGTCTGCTCTTCATGCGCTCTCGTTAGGCGTCTAAGGATGATCGAGGCTAACTGTATTAGTTAGACTTATACCCTTGTGATTGTCACAATAAGACTTTTGTCGTTTCTTAAAGATTGGAACAGTCAGGGATTGAAACCAGTCGGATGGGATTGTGTCCAGTTCCCAGATTCTACCTAAGATTTCAGTCAATCTAGCTGCTAACCTGGACCACCACCCTTAAAAATCTCAGGGGTAAGCCTATCAGGACCTGCTGCTCTCCCTCTCTCCTTACTGTTCCGTTCAGTCGCACAACGAACAAGCGACTGTCTACTGGGATCCTGTCTAGGAGCGCTTGTTTTGCCTTACGACTCAATGCTATACCTACACCAGCGAGACCCCTGGATGCAGCATCGGGACTCGCAAATACACGAAGGGTAAATCGAGTTGCTTCTTAATCTTGAAATAGTGAGGTCAAGTGAATGAAGCTTCTCAGATCCTTTTTGCGCGTTTCCGATACGCACCATACATCGATGGCGCGAGATTTTAAAGTCCTAGCTAATGAAGCCTGTTGTCCGAACATTAAGTGCTGCAACATGTAGTCTAGAACAGGGTTTCAGGAGACTAGGGATAACGTTTCGGGAACACACATCGTTTGCATTAGCTATGCAGCGTGATAAAGGAATGTGAGTAGAGTTAGTCGTGATGATAAGGGGGATGTTACAGGGTGTAGGAAGGATTTGATTGTGACCGATTCGGTCTCGTGTGCTTTTATGTGTATGGTGGCGGTTGTCACTTCCCGACTTCCCACATCGTGGAAGAGTTTTTCTTGAGGAATCTGAGAAGGAAGGTAGACTAGTGTTGGTCTTACATACCTGGGAGCGTGACCGCAGAGACCAAGGGACATTTGCTTCAGGCCGGTCACGCACGGCCTTTTTATGAAAGGTTTCTTGAAGATTAACTCCGCTCCTTTTAAAGCCCTTATTGGGCAGCCCTTACCGCCGGAGACGGAAATCCGTGAGGTGTGACATTTTTAGGGTCGAGCTTTTCTAACCCTTCCTTCCTTGTGAGAAGGCAGCATCGCTGTATATACTGGTTGTCTGAGAGAAAAACCCCACTTCTGTCACCCCCCTCTGCAGTCAGCAGTATGACTTCGCCCTCAGACCTTGAGTAACTGCTTTTAGTCTCGTCGTTCTCCAATCGACTTGTCTGGCATGGAAGAACCTACAGGAACATATGTGCCAACTAATATAGCTCGGTTGGGTCATCAAGATAGGCAAGCTGGAACACCACGTCAAGGTAACATCTACGGTCGGGCATCAACATAAGTAATGACGAAATATCCGTATTTCATTTCTTTGTCTTCATAGTGATTCGAACATTACATTCAAAGAATTTTGGAAAGCTATGGAAATATGTGGTTCTAGCGAAGTCATACGGTGTGTTATTATTACAAATATGTTGCCACATTAAGTGGTACTTACAGTACTTTTTGTCAATGTTGTATCATGTGCTGCATCATCCTTTCATTTACGATGAAGCTTAACCTAGATTTAAACTTACCAAAAACTAAACGTCACAGATCTTAGCTCTAGGGTTTCAAATGTCACTGTATATCCTGAAAAGAATGTTACAAAGGTTTCCATGTAGTTAGCTGTTTCAATACATCGTGTTGTTATGATAGTAAGTGGCATTTTTTTCGTAATATTTCTGCAACTATTACTTAGATTTATGTCTTCTCAGTAGAAAAGCAAGTCTTATGAAACTGAGCAGAGGTTGACATCCAATATTCCGTCTCCATAGAGACATACCATCTAGTTCCATTTTAGGCCTTCATGTCATATAAAAGCTTGGTCAGTTTATATTACTGCTTTTATTTACGTCTGTATTCTTTTTAGAAATTTTAAGTTGTTGACTTCCGTTTTTCCCTGTTGTTTTTCAGTCTTATGTCAGCTGATTAAAATTCTAGCGTCAGCCATACACAACCTAATTTCTGATTTCACCGGGTCAAACGGTTTTTGTAGTCAAGAGAAAATAAGTGTTCCGGTATCATGCTTATGAACCTCATCTCCTTGCTGATATGTTTTATGTTTGTCGCGGGGGAAATCATGACGGATGTCATCTTGCCGTCTAAATGTGAAGGTTGGACAATGATTTGGTCTAAAGTGTAGTTTGCAAGCTTCTTGTAACAGAAATCCTATCTCGTCTGCAAGAGACAAAGTCAAGTGATGCTCTGAACTTAGGTTCTGTCCATGGGAATTCAAAGAAGGTTAAATATAAAACATCGTTGGTCCTTACTTTGGCTTACTTTATCAATTACTAGAGAACTTAGACTTTACGAGGTTCTGGAAGACCCTCCTATTTGCAACAGGTTACTTCAGTACAAAGTCCATAAAGAGCGACCAGACAGTACCAGATTCGATAAAGGTATACCGCAGACAATGAAGTCCCTCACAGAACTGGTGTACGTTGCTTATAATATTCCCTTAATCTTGACAGAAACCGTGGTGTCGACGTGAAATTAGATGTCCCCTTTGAACTATGGGACAAACCGCCAGCGGAGGTCACAACTTTATTCAAGGAGGTATGTCTACTGAGCCCTGCTTAATTTAGAAGTGTATCCCACTTGTTAATGAATTTCAAGACACTATAGAGGAATGGTTTTACAACAATCAAGATATAAATCTTTATGATTACCTTTGTCGTGAAAATGTTCTAGACAAATCTTCTCAAGGTAAGCACTTTCTCTTCAACTTGATGTTTCGATTTATTTGTGATGATCACTCGTAACTAAAACGTTCCTTATTTTTGAGATGTATAACGTTTTGATCGTAACCTTTATGATTAGGAATGGAACAAATTTTCACCTGACATTTAAGGCTACAACCACTGAAATATCATGAATTGATTTCGTTTACTATCAGCAATTATTTAATCAAGTCCTCGGAAAGTATTGAGTTATGAACCACATTTGTTAGCCAGTCAAGTTAGTCAATTGCAACGTAGAACTTTGTACGTACGTATGTCAGCTCAGGCTGCCATACCGCATTAGCACAGAGACGCAACTGTAAGTTCAAATCACATAGTAGTAGAGGTAGTAAAAGTATTAGGAGTAATCGGACCCCAACCAGGTAGCCTGCATCTACCAACATGACTCAGTCCACTTTTCAGTGACTTCATGGGTTTCTGAAATGTTTTTTTTTGGCCGCCCCTAGCTTACTTCCAACATACTTCCACACCACAAAACATCGCTCGTTGAGGCAGTTGGCGGTTAGACATACGTAACACATGTCCCAATCACCTCAACTGATAAAGTTTCATTACTTCATCTATTGACCTTCCATCCTTACCTAGCACCCGTTTCCTAACAACAGCATTGCTTACTCGGCTGTTCCACGGTATACGAGCAATGCTTCGGAGACACCTATGATCGAAAACCAGTAACCTACGAATATCTTCTACTCTTACCGACCATGTTTCACAGTCATAAAGTAAGACGAAGCGAACTGTTGCCCTGTACACTCGTCTTTTAGTCAGCAAACGGATATATTGCCTACACCATAAGTGATATCCGTTTGCTGACTAAAGGACGAGTGTACTGCGCAGTGGTTCGCTCCGTCTTACTTTATGGCTGTGAAACATGGCCAATGAGAGTAGAAGATGTTCGTAGGTTACTGGTTTTCGATCATAGGTGTCTTCGAAGCATTGCTCGTATACCGTGGGACAACCGAGTGAGCAACGCTGTTATTAGGAAACGGGTACTAGGTAAGAATGGCAGATCAATCGATGAAGTAATGAAACTTCATCAGTTGAGGTGGTTGGGACATGTGTTGCGTATGCCTAACCAGCGACTCCCTCGTTGAGCTTTGTTTTGTAGTGTAGGAATAGGTTGGAAGAAAGTTAGGGGCGGCCAAACCAAAACATGGCAGAAATCCATGAAGTCATTGACGAGTGGACTTAGCCATGTCGGTAATTGTCGACTACCTGGTTGGGGTCCGCGAGATGATAATAATCGATGGCTAGAGACCTTGAATGACATGGCTCAAAATCGTTCGCAATGGCGCCAGTGCATTTATTCTTTGTGTTCTCTCAAATCCTAATCTTCTGGATTCTTCAACACCTCTAGTTTTTACTTTCTAAACTTATCTCATTGAATCATACTTCGTGAATAATAATTCTAACTTCTCCGATTACTTCTAAAATACCTTTACTGCCTCTTCTACTATTGGATTTGAATTGACAATTATATCTCTGTGCTGATGTGGTATGGCGACATGAACTGATGTACTTACGTACGAAGTTCTACGTTGCAACTGACTGACTGACCATAAGTGACGCAGGTTGGCAAAAGCCAATCGAGCCTTCGGTATCCGTGCTGACATTTCGTCAGTCACCTCGCCATCGGCACAGATGAGACTCCCAAGATGAGTGAAGCGGTCTACACGTTCTAATACTTCACTCCCTATCACTAGTTCAGGTGCCGATGCAAGTCAATCTTGAAGCAACATTTTGCATTTTGATAGTGAGAACGGCATCTCGACCATTGATTGTGACTAGTTTGTCCTCGTGTGCTTTTATGGGTATGAGGGCGGATGTAACTTGCCGGCTGCCCACACCGTCGAATGGCTCTGGTTTTCAGAAGGGGCATCGGCCTCATGAATTCCGAAGGAACTCGGCTTTCATTATGAGACGTCATTTTTCTTCAAAATGCAGACCTAACTCCCAGAGCAGACCTTATATGGTTTGAATAATTTTTCTTGTTAGCGGTTTTTTAGCGAGTTAGTTTTTTACGGGATAGGGTCGCCAACCACAATCCTAACACTCCTGTTTCCTGCAGTAGCCCCGAAAGATCTGCAGGTGGAGTTATCGCACTAATTAGTCATCAAAGCTAGCACAATCTAAACTGGGAAAGATAAATATGTATTAAACCTGACTATGTAAATCACTAGTCCACTCAGCATTGAAAACGATATCATATGTAAAGCTTCGACGTGTAATAATCATGGCAGTGTGTACCTAGAGTGTAGTAAGTAGCTGTTTTGTGTGTTTACTAGTGGGTAACACTACTGAGAGCGCAGTTCCTCAACTTGATAATCGCTACCTACGAAAACCACCTGCTTCACTTTGGGCACTCAGGCAGTGTTATAGCCCACGTATAACGTAAATAATGACTTCAAACAGGAAAACTATTCATGTGTTCAGCAGTTCAACGGTTATCGTAGTATTAGCCCGAGACTTGAATTCACTGGTCGGGACTTTTTGATCTGTGATCAAATAACGGTGACCGTTTGTTTCAATTTTGAATAGACCACAACCTGTTTCTAGCTAGCAGTAAATACTTGAACAGTCATTGACAATGTGCCATCTGACTTTCTCCCTCTTCGTCTCAAGATTGATCACATCGCGATCAGCTACCGCTGGCTTGATCGTGTAGAACACTGCCTCTCGTTTTCGAGTACTTATCTGGACTCTGATCATACCCTTGCTGGCGATAGTCTCATTCTACGTTTTAGCGGCTAACGAATTCACCAACCTAAACAGACCGATGTCAGTAAATTGTCTGCGGCTTCTGTTGAAACTAAACACCAAACTGAACTAGGTTCAAGGCTAGTTACCGACTCACTGAAAAGTCCAGATGAACACTGGTTGCAGTGATACGATGCCATGAAACAATTAATAAAGTCGCTTGCGGCTTTGTAAAACCTCCTGCTTATTTTATACACTGGGTTTTGACAGCCACCTTGCAACCCGTTGCAGCATGTCGATCCACTTCGGGTAACCTCAAATTTGACAATAAAAGACTTATGTGATCAAATCGTTTGTTTGAGGATCAAGAGACTTGGTGGTCGAAGTGTGTTAACGAGTTGGAGCAGCATCCTCATATGGTAACTGCCGGACGCTCTTTTGATTTATACGAGCCATTGGCATCAAGACGTCTGGTGTGAGGGATGCAATGCAGCTGATAGGACTATAGTCAGTAACATTCACCGACGTATTGGATGAACTGCTGCTCCAGTAACAGCAACCAGACTGTCCTGTCCTCCATGGTTAGTGACGACTGATCCACCTAACTAGGCTCAAGTTCGCAAACTCTTAAGGTGCTACAAATCATCAGGCCCAGATGACTTACTTACAGCCCTTTTTAAAGATAGTGGCAACCTCATGATTGTGAGACTGACTGACTGATAATCTCATTTTTACTGTGTGGCACATATATATTATGGTGCCTAAATGTCCCAATATTTATGTTTTAAATAAAATTAATAAAACCAACCCTGAAACTCATTTTACTTCCTAACAATAGTCATTTAATTAATGAATGAAAGCTTGTGGATGGAACACTGATTTATTATCAAGTTTATGTGCTTGGCCCTATCAAATGAATCAAGTGGTTAACATTTTAGCGATTCTCGGGAGACTATAGACCACACTTACACATTTGTTAGTTTCTTGGAAAAAAATAGCACTTCACTAGTTTGGGAAATGTCACTCGATTCTTCTAATATGTTGTTAGTGGGACATAGATGGAATTAAAGCACGACTACGTCGCTGCGCGCTGATTGGCTAATTTCCGATCAAATCAGCGCCTGATCGAAGCTAGGAGAACAGGATAGAAAATTCTCGTATTGATAGCTGCATGCTGATTGGTCAAATCCAATCCAGTCGATCACGTGAATTTTCTTCCAGCAGCTTTCTTATGTTAAGGCTATAAATAGACTGGCGTTGTATTTATTTTTGCCTTCTTTGCCTTGGCTTTCGCCATCGCCTCCGGCTACTTATTCCTTGCTAATTTGAAATATAATCTTTCCTGTTCAAACCGTGTTTTGACTTGGAGGACTTGTTCAGTGTTTTATGTCAAGAATACTAAGCAATAAGATTTAGCCGGGAATTAACTAAGCAAGCGTTACAACATATGTTAAAGAGGGGACAGTTAAATCGTGGGAGATTTCAAAGTTGTGTTCAATCATGTTAGCAGTAAATGTTAATAAAACAGTACTTTTGCAGCTTAAGTTTCTCATAAGGTAAGGTGCCACACACTAACTCACTAATTCAACTTTCGACGCGAAAATAATAGGGTGATAAAAGTTATCAATAAAAAGATCATTAATAATTAACGTAAGGCAAAAGTTTAAATGTAGTACGGAGAATCAGTTGGCTTAGTTTATTAATTTGTTCTTATCACCTTTAATCAATTATACTGCCTGAATTTGTTATGTGTGCAGTCAGTCAGTCAGTCAGATGCAACGTAGAACTTTGTACATAAGTACATCAGTTCATGTTGCCATACCACATCAGCACAGAGAAGCGATCGTCAATTCAAATCCAATAGTAGAAGAGGTAGTAAGGGAATTAGAAGTAATCGGAGAGGTTAGGATTAGAAGCTACTATTCAAGAAGTATGATTCAGTGAGAAAAGTTTAGAGAGTCGAAACTAGAGGGGTTGAAAATCCAGAAGATTAGCATTTGAGAGAACACAAAGAATAAATGCACCGGCGCCATTGCGAACGATTTTGAGCCATGTCATTCAAGGTCTCTAGCCATCGATTATTATCATCTCGCGGACCCCAACCAGGTAGTCGACAATTACCGACATGGCTAAGTCCACTCGTCAATGACTTCATGGATTTCTGCCATGTTTTGGTTTGGCCGCCCCTAACTTTCTTCCAACCTATTCCTACACTACAAAACAAAGTTCGTCGAGGCAGTCGGTAGTTCGGCATACGCAAGACATGTCCCAACCACCTCAACTGATGAAGTTTCATTACTTCATCTATTAATCTGCCATCCTCACCTAGTACTCGTTTCCTAACGACAGCATTGCTCACTCGGTTGTCCCACGATATACGAGAAATGCTTCGAAGACACCTACGATCGAAAACCAGTAACCTACGAATATCTTCTACTCTCACTGGCCATGTTTCACAGCCATATAGGAGAACGGAGCGAACTGCTGCACAGTACACTCGTCCTTTGATTAGAAAACGGATATATTGCCTACACCATAAGTGACGCAGGTTGGCAAAAGCCAATCGAGCCTTCGGTATCCGTGCTGAGATTTCGTCAGTCACCAGGCCATCGGCACAGATGAGACTCCCAAGATAAGTGAAGCGGTCTACACGTTCTAATACTTCACTCCTTATCACTAGTTCAGGTGCCGATGCAAGTCAGTCTTGAAGCAACATTTTGCATTTCGATGGGGAAAACCGTTTCCCAAACATGCTTGCATTGTTGCTTATGGTAGTCAGAAGACTCTGCATTTTGTCAGCATCTTCACCAAGTAGGACAATGTCATCGGCATATTCTAAGTTAATAAGCGAGCCACCTGAAAATTCAGATGAGCATAAGGTTATTTATAGCAGCATGTCTATGATAAAATTAAACAAGAATGAAGAAAGTGGACATCACTGACGGACACCACTTGATGTAGAGAATTCCGGTGACAGTTGACCATAAGCCCTCACTCTACCAGTGGTGTTCGAGTAAAGAGCTTGTATAAGGTTAATGTACTTCTTCGGTACACCTTTCAATGACAGACACTGCCACAGAACCTTACGATCCACTGAGTCAAATGCCGCTTTTAGGTCCAGGAAAACAACTATTGTAGGACGCCTAAATATGTGTCTATGTTCCAGGACCTGTCTGATTGTGAAGACGTGGTCTATACAACCACGTCCAGGTCGAAAAACAGACTGGTTTTCTCGAGTTTGCTCTTCACGAGCTTTCGTTAAGCGTCGAAGTATTATTGAGGCCAATATTTTAGATACTATATTAGTTCGACTTATTCCCCTGTGATTGTCACAAGAAGACTTTTGTCCTTTCTTATAGATTGGGACAATCAAGGATTGTGTCCAGTTCCCAGATTCTACCTAAGATCTCTGTCAACCTAGCTGCTAAAACTGGACCACCATCCTTAAATATCTCAGGGGTCAGTCTATCAGGACCAAATGTGTGCAGTTAATCTAGCTGACTGTCAAACTCATTATTATTAGCAATGTTGACACTCAATACATCTCCCCAACGACAATGACCCTCGGGAATGTTGCGAAACAATCACCAGTGTCAATGAAATTGGTCACCCTGCTAACCAAAGTTACATATGGACTTTTAGCAATACTTGCCGAAGCAGTGTCAAGCTATCCACAATGTTCTCAGCATACCTGTGGTCTCATAAGAAACCTTCAGCTCTATATAGCAGTAGAGCATATGGTTTGCACATAATATGACATAGGATAGCAACAGATGCAGCCCAGCTTTATGCCAATGGGCTTACTCTTATTACCCTATGTCTCATGTCGGGTAATGATTTTTTCGCGATACTGACATTTTCATTTTTCGACTATATGAGTCAGGGGTAGTATACCTAGTTAATCTAGCTACCAGCCTTATTTTCGATTTTACGACTTAGTCCTTCAATAAATTGAAAAATTGTCATATTTATTTTATTTTTCAGGTTGTTTGGATGAAAAATCTCCTGATCAGCTAAAAGAAAATTCGCCAGGTTTGTACTGTGAATACGGCACTTTCAGAGTCCAATTTCTTTATGTTATAAGGAACTTTTATGTGTCTAATAAGCGTTTCTAGAATCCACTTCTGCTTATGACATCATTCATAGTCAAAAATTACTTGTATAAGGTCGGAACCATCAGAAGATGCTTTCACTATTATAGAAATCTTAAGCTTATATTCTCATGTATGTCAGATGTGGTTATAGAGATTGTTTATCATCGCGGCGATAGGTAACAGTAGACAGTTGTTCCGCTTTATGAAAGAAACCGGTATTAGAAATCTATCTGTTAGCGAAACTATCGCAGAAAAGGATGGTTGTATCATTCATTCTCAATCCAGGAAATTGGATCGATAAGCAGAACACTTTACGGATCAGTTCAACTTGTCTTCAGCCACACCTCGTTAGCCCGCGATCTCCAGTCATCCTGAATGGCAAATCGATATAAGTCCTCCGAATCTTTCTGAAGTTGAAAAGGCGATAGGAAATCTGAAGCGAGAGAGAGAGCGGCAGGACCCGATAGATTAACTCCTGAAGTTTTTAAGGATGGTGGTCCAGCTTTAGCAGCTAGATTGACTGAGATCTTAGGTAAAATCTGGGAACTGGGCATAATACAATCCGACTGGTCTCAATCATAGTAAGCCTCGATTATCCTTAGACGCTCGTGAAGAGAAGACTCGAAAAAACCAGGTTCGTTTCAGACCTTGTTGTGGATGTATAGACCACATCTTCACACTACGACAGGTCCTGTAACACAGACACACATATAAGCGTCTTACAATAGTTATCTTACTGGACCTTAAGGAGGCATTTGACTCTGTAGATCGTGAGGTTCTGTGGCAGTATGTCATTGAAAGGTGTACCAGAGAAGTACATTAACTTTATACAAGGTCTGTACTCTAAAACTACAGATCGGGTGAGAGCTTATGGTGAACTGTCATCGGAATTCTTTACTTCAAGTCTTGTCCGTCAGTGATGTCCACTTTCCCCATTCTTGTTCAATTTTGTGCTTTTGCTAGATATAACATTATCTTCGTCCGACTTTTCAAGAGTCGACTCTACCAGTAAATTCGCTCACTGACCTAGAATATGCCGATGACATAGTTCTATTCGGTGAAGACGCTGACAAAATGCAGTCTTCTGACTACTTTAAGCAACAATGCAAGCATGTTCGGTATGCGGTTTTCCCCATTGAAATGCAAAATGTTGCTTCAAGACTGACTTGCATCGGCACCTGAACTAGTGATAGGGAGTGAAGTATTAGAACGTGTAGACCGCTTCACTCATCTTGAGAGTCTCGTCTGGTTTTCGATCATAGGTGTCTCCGAAGCATTGCTCGTATACCGTGGAACAGCCGAGTAAGCAATGCTGTTGTTAGGAAACGGGTGCTAGGTAACGATGGAAGGTCAATAGATGAAGTAATGAAACTTTATCAGTTGAGGTGATTGGGACATGTGTTACGTATGTCTAACCGCCGACTGCCTCAACGAGCGATGTTTTGTGGTGTGGAAGTATGTTGGAAGTAAGCTAGGGGCGGCCAGAAAAAAACATTTCAGAAACCCATGAAGTCACTGAAAAGTGGACTGAGTCATGTTGGTAGATGCAGGCTACCTGGTTGGGGTCCGATTACTCCTAATACTTTTACTACGTCTTCACGTCCTAATCTTCTCTATTATCAGTAATTCTTCTACTATCTCTACCACTATGGGATTTGAATTGACAATTGTATCTCTGTGCTAATGTGGTATAGCAACCTGAACTGATGTACTTACGTACGAAGTTCTGCATTGTAACTGACTGACTGACGTCCAGTTCACAAATTCTGTCTAGCATATCAATCAATCTAGCTGCTAAAGCTGGACCACCATCCTTAAAATTCTCAGGGGTCTGTCTGTCAGGACCTGCTGCTCTCGCTTGCTTGAGATTTCCTTTCGCTTTCCATCGCTCTTACTTTTACTACCCACTTGTGTTCGCGATCATTTCGTAGGCATTTTATCATCCTGCCTCTAAGCTGAATTCGCTCCTCATCGTACTCAGAGCCAGGCGGGTTGAGTTTTTGAGCATCCATCAGTTCCGTAGATGTTACTAGACTACTTCTCCCTAAGCTAATGGTTGACCTTACTAGCAAATATCACTGCTGTTTCCACAGCTTTTTTTATATCATTCTAAGCTGCTTTTATGGTGAGCATCTCTGACTCCATGGCAGCCTAACTTTTTCTAATGGTTCATGAAGTATATTCTTAGCTGTTTTATCATTAAGTAGAGCCCTAAGAGTTTCCCTTGAGATATTTTTCCTACCTCCAGTAAAACAAGTACGCACTCGTCCTGGAGCATGATCTGAGTCTAAACAAGTGCTCCAGAATGAGAGGCAGTCTTCAGTAGAGCTTCTCTACTGATGACTGATAGCGATGTGATCTATTTAGGTCCATCGTTGGACGGGCTTTGGGGGTCTCCAGGTCAAAAGGTATTTTTCCTTATGCCTATAGTTAGTGTTTCCTAGGAACACGTGATTGTCTTGTCATAGTTGCAGCAGACGGTCACCAGTATTTGTTATCTGACCCGTGACACCATAAGATCCACCAATGTGTCTTTCCTTTTAACTGAGTTTATCTACTTGAGCATTGAAGTCACCAGCCATTATTACTATATCACAGCGCTTGGTACCTTAATAATTGTAGTTCTAGGTTGTAAGCAGCTGACAAGAAAATTTGAAATACAGTGCCTTTATTTTGTTCTTCAAACTTTTCTTGTCTCTGTTCTGTCTAAATGACTTTTGCATTCATAGTAGTATGGCTTCAAACTGAGCTGCTTGTGTATAATGATTGTACTCAGTGGTTGAATTAGTGAGTGTGAACCACTAATATGTGTTGAAGGTTTCAGGTGACTAACTCACTGTATTTTAACTGTGTTTGCATAAACAGTTGTTTGTTAATTCGTCCTTACGAAGTGTGGTGTCATTTTTGGTGTTTATAAGTAATAATTATTCATATTTTATCTAATTACTTACTTATTTCAGAGTTACATCGATCGGAAGAGCTATGATGTACAACACAGTGGCGTCTCTTTTGACCAATTTATAGTTGTTTTACCTTTAGATTCATGAGATTTTGTACATGTAACTGCGTTTCATGTGGACTATCTTTACTAGCCAATATTTGTATTGTGTATTTCTCTTTTAATTAAGTATTAAAAATTTCTAATGAGTTTGTTTCTACGCATGCCTCATTGATTGAAAAAAGTCTTCGGCCAAAAACTGAATTATTATATGGTCGAAGTTCTCTTAGAAGTAGATGGTGCATTTGTCCAAAAATCTCCCTGAACATTTTAGTGTACTGAGAGATGTTCTTAGACAGACATATATTATCAACATAGAACCTGGCACAATAATGCGTTGGCCCAATATACGTTGCTATGATTGGTACGACAAGATGAAAATAATAACAGAAATTGAAAGTTTGATAACAGTAATAATAAAAAGAACGACCAAACCTTGGAAATATAATTAGAAAAGATAGAGTAGGAAAGTATGTATAAAAGAATACTGGGATTCAAAACCTGGAGAAAGATAGAGTGAATGCATCTGCGACACTGAACGTTCTGAGCTACTTCACCCAACGTCTCCAACAGCTAATCATGGATCTCATTTAGGTATTCTTCATCTGTTAGAATGGCTTGGACTAACAGCTAGTTACTTCATTAACTAGTGCCACATTGATTTAGTTGCTTCTAGTCTTCTAACATCCTACACCGGCAAGCATAATTTATAATGGTAGGTAGTTGTTAGACATGTCTCCTAACCACTTCAGTCAATTTTTGACCTTAAGCCTAACGTCAATATTGTTCACTTGGTCATTAGACAAAACCCGAGTAATGCTTTCATGAATATAAAGTAGAACTGACCAGACAGCAACACAATATACGCGTCCTTTAGTTAGCAAAAGAAAATCTCGCCCGCGACACGGCCTAAGTAAAGAAACCCTAGCTGGGCCCTGCCGAGATTTCGTTACACGAGGGCTAATAAAACCCCCATGATAAGTGAAATAATCGACATTCAACTACTTCACTTCCTATCACTAATTTGGGCATCGATGCAATATATTGTATAGAGAGGGAGATAAACGTTCCTAGACACGCTAGATGCTGTTAAAGGCTTTCAGAAGACTGTATTTCGTCAGCTTCCTCACCTACAATTATATCATATGTATTTTACGTCGTTCGATAAGTGAGCATTCCACTAGGAAAGCAGCTAAAAATTCAGGTGGTGGAAATGTCATTTCCACGAGCGCAGCTAAACAAATCTACTAAAGCACTGTAGGTAGATGCTTAAGGTTGACGTATTCCGACTTAATTCTCACCTGTCGTTTGCATACTGATTAAGAGTGGATAAAAAATAAGTTTAATTATATCTTTGGAAAGTTGGTATAAAACTACACTTCTGTGCTTCCCATTCACAAATGCTTGTGCGCTGTCACATAGTTCTCCACTTGTAGAAATGAAAAAAAGCTTATTTCTAAACAGGGCACTTTAGGTAACAGTTCAACTACCTAAATAATAATCATGGTATGTTGAGATTCGTAACCTAGCAACAGCTCATTTTTCTGACTAAATAAATGATGTTGATACACCCTCTAAGCAACTGATGTACTAGTTAATAATATACCTGAAAGAAATGATCTCTCCGTGAGAGTGATACCTGGGTGTTGGATCGATTATGGTATTTATAAATGACACAAAAAGTACACAACTTGGAATCATCAGTGCGTATTGATTCGAATCACTAGCCCTGGTGATGGCAACGTTACGGAAAAAATAGGAATGGAATTGTGTCAACAGTAATGAAAGTGTTGGGGGATTCAATGAAATCGAGGTGTGCTATAATCTAGTGACGAAGTCGCATCTAGTCTTCAACCACCGGCAAGGTTACCTTGAGGTTCTAGAGTTACTTTTGTTATCCAATTTATAACAAGGGTCATCGAACTCATGAGCTGATACCGTGGGTTTAGTTGATCACCGTAATTTCATTCTTATATCAAACGAAAAGGCATCACGGCGTCGATTAACAGAGATAACACATGTTTACCATAGTCAGTGAAGTTTCTGAACTTTATGCTCCAAGGTCATGTGCGGGAATGATTACAGTATACACGCCTTCAACCTTTGATGGAAGTTTCTCAGCAAGAGAACTCGTGGAAATTCCAATGATCAGCATCAAAAAAGTGGAAAATTGTAATACTCATGATGGCGAAAAGGAGTTAACGCTTGGGATATACTTTGAGACGCGAATTAGCATTTAAGCTTCGTTCGCACACAATTCTAAGCCTTTGTGGGGTTTCCAACTATCCTGTGACTTAGTAGAAGCTTCCCACAATCCATTAGTGCTTCTCAAACTTCCGGTCTTGGTCACTAACATGTTTTGCTACGGCTTGAGAATTATGCCACGTTTCCTCCGCATGAATATTCTCTTAGTGGCCGGTTATGGGCTTAGGTAGTTTTTCCTGGGTATTTTTGTCAAGATGGGTTATCCGGACTGTTATAAAGAAACTAGAAAGCTGATGGCATGCATTGCTATCGTTCAGAGTTCTCCTTTAGTTAGAGCAAATTTCAGTTAGTAATTACCTTTGGTTTCTAAACTGAGTGGTATGCACACTTGTAGAACCATAAGTAAACCAAGCAAACTGTCTGGAAAAAGTTATTCATATAACTGCAAAGATATCACAGAGGCTCCAAACGGTCGGTGTACTGGAGCCGAGCGATTAAGGATACCTGATAATTAGTAAACTTCATGTATATACTACGGTAAGGTGATACGAGAGACATTGCGGCGGTCGAAAGAGGCACTTAAACGAAACAACTAAAAATTAAGTCTAACTTAAATGCTAACTATATAAGTACAGATTGCTGCAACAGACGTCAAACACAATACAAGTAGGCTACTGCACTTTGATAAGTTAACATGTAAGACTCGGCAGTAACTTGAGTTACTGAGATTTGAGGTGACGTGCAAAAATTGAGGTTGCTGAAGGAAAAGGTGAATCGGTTTTTGGTTTTATCATAAACCTACTAACATACTACAGGTGTACTTCAAAGCAATCAACATAACTAAATGCGATCATTTTGAATATTGATATGCTAATATTTTACTAAAAATAACGAGCAAAGTAAGATAATGTAGTCCTCTGTTTTAGTGAGAATTCGACGACAATATTCCTCTATATGATGAAACTATTGATACTCTGAGTTCTAGTGTTTTGTTTCAATATAAACCTGTTACGTTACATAAGGCGATCAGAGAAAGTTTGCTAATAAAATCGCTTGACATGATTCGATGAACAAGAATTACACATAGAAAGTCAGTGTTATTAGTAAGTTAATTAAGTATACAAAAACAAAAGGAAACAAAAGAATATTTACAGTTATAAAAGTATAGAAAATATTAAAATACATTCTGATAAGATAAAATATCCATTCACAATAATATTATCTTTTTTGATATGTTTATTGATAAATAAATGATTTCATGTCACATGTACATGTGTTATTGCCTTTCAGTTTTCTTTATCAACTCTAAACACAAGTTAGCGAATTCACTTTTTCTGTACAAAATGATAAAATAATTGAACGTGAAAAATACAAGTATTTAAACAAATCCATCAACTGACTGAATGATTCAATGTAGTCTCTGATGATTGACGTCTTAAGTGTGGATGTTTTACAAAGTAATGGACAACAGGAATTTTTGGTTTGGTTGTTTCCACTTTATTGAGTATTCTCATGTCATCAGCATTGGAGTGATTTGATTTAATTGATGTATTTAATTTTTCTGTTTTATGTCTTAACGAAAAATCTCTTTTGTGTGCCATTAAAGATGGTGAACTGCTAGCATTTCGCGATAGGGAAGCAGTGGTAATAACTGGAAAAGCATTTTTATGTTCTATGTGAATATCACAATCACTATTATGTTCTTCACTATCGTAATCGTCATCATCGTATTCATCCTCATCTGAACTGACATCTCGATCATGATCGTTGACAACTGGGGATGATGGTAGAGATCTTTGTGAGGACAAATTATTTAACTTATTATGTGTCTGAATGTTTTGATATTCAGAGATATTAGTTACATTTGCTTTAGGTATTGAACTTGAATTCTTTTCACAATGTGAATCACTTACTTTTTTCAAGTCTTTAGAGTTCATGAACGATGGAGTCAGTAAATAGGGATGAGATAAAGATGTAGCCCAATTGACAAGTGTACGTTTAGCTGGTGAAATAGCTTTTTGATCATCTGTTGGTAAATCTATTGTTTTAACATGTGATTGATTAGAATGATTCAAATTCAAATGATTGTTCTTTTTTTCATTGCAATAAGGACATGTAAAGTACAAAGTAATCTAGAAAAAGCAAAATAGAATTTTCATTATCTAATCATTTATATTATCAGACTATATAGTAAACGTTAAAATAACATAAGAATCCCTTTGCTTTATTATTCAGTACCACAGGTTAGATTACAGTAATTAATTCTTAACACGAAGTGGCGAAAATCCTCGCCAAGCTTGTGAAAATGATACCACCATGACTACTTGCCATTCATTTTCATTTGATTTCGCTCCTAGAAAAATTGCTTTTTCTTCACTGAACATCTGATGCGTGAATCTTATAACATCTCATTTATTTAAAGATAGACCAGGAGGAAATAAACATCAACAGAAGTACGTTATGGTAAGATCTAGATTATGCAGTAACTAGATAGTAATAGGTTGTAAACCTCATATAAAATCACCTGCGTAAATATATATAATTTATAACAAATCTGAAGCAGGATATTTTACCAAAACATTAAATTAATAAATATCTTGAAAGTTTGAGCAGGTTAAAGTTAAAATTATAAGATTCAGAGAACTACTTCAACTAACAGTTACACTACTAGATATATATATATATATATATATATATATATATATATATATATATATATATTGGCAAAATGCGTCAGCTTATATACATACATGTAAAAGTTCTTAGAAGTTTTAACTTAAGTCACTCTTATCTCACAAAGAGAATCATTAATACAACAATGATTATGCTATATAAAAACTGATTTCTGCGTAATTTCAGTAGCAGTCAAAGCTAGAGATATTAATAAAAAACTATAATACACTAAGTAAGTATTAGGTTATCCCCTACTTACTGATGATTACTTATCCTGATACTGATGGATAATAAATCAAGTGGTTAACAATGAAAGTAATCAATCTTAAATGAGTAAATAAATTAAGCGATCTTATGATTCCACAGTCCTACAGAGTGGAACTAGCATTAGCCAACTCCACGAATCCCTTCCAAATATTCAAATATTACATAACCTGGATAAATAATTGCTGATATCCAGTCTATTCACAATATTGCACCTACCAGTCCATACAGATCGGTTATGATATTTTCACGATGTGATGACCGATTTACATATTCTATATTCAATTTTTTATTCTTAGTTTTAGCCTGATAACTGAGTTCAAATAATAAGTTCTCTTTGTATTTTTTTTACACTGTATGAAGAAACCTCACACTTATTCACAAAGCATCCATCATTTCATACAAACACCACATAAGGTTTCTAAAAAGAATTAGATGAAGCTGGACTCGAACCTGTGACCCAGGTAATTGAAAGTCAAGGATTTTTACTACAAAGTCAACGTTACACTTATGTTAATTAATCGAGTCAATAAGATATAAAACAAGAAGACATACATTACATTCTGATGTCAAGAACTTCGATTTCCCTTTATAAGCCTTATCTAATTCAGATAGTGGTAATTTTAGAAATGAATGACCAAGTAATAGTTCACGAGATGACGATGCTTTTGTTGATGACGGTGGAAAGACACATGTACATTGGTAGTTATATGAACCATCCTAAAATAAAAGTAAAGAAAAAAAAGTGTCAATTGTTGCTCTTAAATTAAAAAGAAATTGTGTAATTATTTCCTTTTAGTGAAAAATCTACTACTTAATAGTCAATCAGATGCTCGTGAAAACGGCAACTAAGTTCTTAACTCTGGTGAAAACATGAAGTCATATATCGCGACAAGCCCACAGTGTTATAAATAGTGAGAAGTATACGAACTAAGTGAATGCTCCTGCACTATTATGATTGATTTTAAAACTTGTTTAATTATTAATCTATCACCGAATAAGATTACATCTCTTTACACGACTTAAATCAAAAAGTCATTCTGAAATGTTTTGTAAACTAAGTCTACTATAAGCGACATAGAACACCAGAGTAGAGTGAATTTTATAAGATTAATACGGTGATCTCATGAGAATTGATTTTATACAAATTATGACTGCAAGTCGAATACACAAACCTGCACACAGTATATTAATTAAAAACTGAGTTGGTTCATGACTTTATCAAATAATATATAACATCTAATATAACGACTAGCTTTAATATTTCGAAATCGACATTCCCAGAATACTGTCCAACTTATCGAAATAAACCACTCGAGGTCAGTTAAGTTAGAAGACTATCTTGACTGCTCGAATATATTTATATATGAATGTATGTGAATAATCGATGGTTCGGTATGGTTGAGCAACACCGTCAAACCGATGAACAAGCAAATGTTCTCAAGCAGGCTACTATGGAGTCACTTTTTAGAAAACTTATATAAGCTTATCAATGGCATAAACTGATATATATTATGTAAAATCATTCGTTTTTCATAACTCTATCCCCATCGGTTGAAACAGTCTTACACTACGAAGTATCTCAACCTCACCCTCGCATTCAAGGGGATAAATGGAAAATGGCTGTCCAAACAAAATGTGTTAACCAATCAGAGAAGGTTGTTTTTCAATAGTTTATTTAACTAATTACAATTAACTAGTACAAGAAAATAAATAAATACAGGAATTTCACAAATACGCATGGAAACCGTCCAGGACACTTAGAAAAGGAAACTAATAATTTGCGATAGAGAAGCACAAAACAAAATCCCTGGTTATTCATTAATGGTCTTATAAACAGTGTAATTTTTTGTGTGCAAAGGGTCATGAATATAATCACAATCCACCGCTGTTTCAATGCAAAATCGATGGAAAGTTAAACTTGAGTAAGGTTGACCCATGGTACGAGTGAATAATGGACCTCTCTCTCTCTCTCTCTCTCTCTCTATATATATATATATATATATATATATATATATATATATATATATTACGGAGACGAAGACTTTTAAAATAACATTAGGCAAATGAAATGTTGATGATTACTTAATAATTTTAAAGATTCCCATTGTGAAAATTAGAACAACACATATAAGCGAACAATATTGTTTTCGATTAGATCGTCATCAGGCTTTACTCTAATATACATGAATATTTATATGAAAATGTTAAACCAATCAAGGCAATTTGAGTGATAATCACAATGAAATGAAAAAGATTACGTAACTACATCTAATAGGCAAAAGTTCAAGTGGATAATAGGAAAACAGGTGTACTGATAGTAGTAAGAAAATTTGTAAAATATGATAACTAAAGTAGGTCAAGGGTGGGTGAATAGAATTCAAATAATCATCAAAAACGTCAAAAAACATTACGTAATAAGCAAATGTGTAAAAATAAAATAAAATAATAAATCAAAAATAATAAAAATAAAAATATGTCAATCATTAGTTACGTCATATCCGGCCACGGAAGAGATAGGGGTGTCACGAATTTCTTCTGAACACATAAATTAGGGTTGAATGTACGTATTCCTATGGCTTCTGCAATGTGTAGGAGACGGGATCGAACTCCGTTGGGAAATGATGGAGGTATACGATAGATCACCCGAAAAGATCTAGATTTATCTACAATGTGACCACTATCTACCAGGTGTGCTAAGATAGAACTGCGTATTGTTTTTGACTAACCCTTCGTAAACCATGCTGGGAGATGTTCACTCATTCGTTGGTTAAGTTGCCTGGAAGTACGCCCGATATAGCTATCTCCACAGGAGCAGCTGAATGAGTGAATGAGTGAACATCTCCCAGCATGGTTTACGAAGGGTTAGTCAAAAACAATACGCAGTTCTATCTTAGCACACCTGGTAGATAGTGGTCACATTGTAGATAAATCTAGATCTTTTCGGGTGATCTATCGTATACCTCCATCATTTCCCAACGGAGTTCGATCCCGTCTCCTACACATTGCAGAAGCCATAGGAATACGTACATTCAACCCTAATTTATGTGTTCAGAAGAAATTCGTGACACCCCTATCTCTTCCGTGGCCGGATATGACGTAACTAATGATTGACATATTTTTATTTTTATTATTTTTGATTTATTATTTTATTTTATTTTTACACATTTGCTTATTACGTAATGTTTTTTGACGTTTTTGATGATTATTTGAATTCTATTCACCCACCCTTGACCTACTTTAGTTATCATATTTTACAAATTTTCTTACTACTATCAGTACACCTGTTTTCCTATTATCCACTTGAACTTTTGCCTATTAGATGTAGTTACGTAATCTTTTTCATTTCATTGTGATTATCACTCAAATTGCCTTGATTGGTTTAACATTTTCATATAAATATTCATGTATATTAGAGTAAAGCCTGATGACGATCTAATCGAAAACAATATTGTTCGCTTATATGTGTTGTTCTGATTACTTAATACATGAGATGAAAATGATACAATAAATCTACCTTGGAACTGGATACGCAATTAGATGATCCTTCTCCGTGTACCACAAAGTACGTGTTGAACCATAGTTGACATATTTTCTACACATAATGAGTAGTAATAATAAAGAATGCACAATTACAAAACATCAGTTGGTTCATGTATCTTGCATAATATTAAAACATACTCATTAGCAATCAAAAAACTCTATACCGCTGATTTGGTAACCAATGGTTTATATTCCTAACTTTAATCAGTTACAGATACTGTGCAACTATCATCCAATTTCACTGATAAATAACTGCTATAACTCCGACAAGGTTTCTCACGGAAACTCGGGAACATGTTTATTACGAGTACTGTAATAATTTCAATTTACTCTACTGAAATGAGAGTTGACTACGGTGATGATGATATGTTCGAGGATGATTATATAACTATTTGAAATTAAATAATAAAGTCTCAGATAAAAACACGATCGACCAGTCAATTGTTGTCATCACAGTACCTGGCATACATATCAATTGTACCAACATACTAAAGGACGGAAACAATTGACTAGTTTATATAGTGGATTTTAAAATAAAACTAGAGATGAGAAAATCAAAACAAAGTATATGTCCATATCACGGTAGAGCAACTGTATTCATTATCTATCCTCCTGCAAATTTCGATTTAACTATATATTATATCGCAGGCGATTTGAGCAGGATTGAACTTTCAGAACTATCTTACAGTAAAATTGCTATTTTTTTGTGTAATTGTTATTATCACTTCATAAATTCCATGAAACTAAACAATCTCCACAACCACCTACTAAAAACTATCAAGTGTTCACTAGTAAGGAAACTATCGGAGCTTTAATAAGAAACCATGACCAGTGTGGTTTACCCTTTGTAAGGTGCTGCGTATTGGGTCATCAATGCGCAGCGATTATGAGCCCCATTCCAGAATGCAGCGACTATTCAGTGCTTCCAGGTTTCTAATGGTGGTCTGACACTGGTCGATTTCAATGAAATTGTTAGATATTCGGATAACTATATTTTCTTACTTTTGACAAATAAATCTTTGTTCTATGTTTTTTGATTGTTTCAGCTTTGTGTATAAATTGTAACTTTATTCGTGTGCTGTACAACCAAGTATATTAATGTTTGAGTTTTGAGCCATAGGTGGATAGAGTGTAACACAAAGGTATCTGTCCGCTAATTTCATCTTGCAAGAAGCGCTTCGGGCAATATGAGCAATTAAGTCGATAGCTGGACCAAATAACACAACTTGCTCCAATAACATAACTTTTCATTCAACTGAGTTACATTATTAAACTCTTTTTTCCTTATTATTTCTTATCCTGTCCTAATTAGCTTGCCGTTTACGCTCCTCATGCTCATATGAGGTGTGACAACTTCGATAGGTAAATATACCCCTAGAAATTCTACAATGACGATGACTGCCTAAAAATATGCGCATAAAATATTCAAATAAGAATGGGAGAAACAGGTAGACTTGTTCAAATAAGACAAGCAGAAAAGCTAATAAAAGTAACTACACATTTGTTCACTTGATAATAACCTACAAAATATGATCACATGATTTAAAACTTGGAAATATCTGTGAAGAATGTGATTACACAAACAAATCAGAGTGATATTCATTGAAGAAACAACAATGAAAATCAATAAACTGTGTTCATACATGAGTGTATATCTATGTAATATGAATAAGGTATGCAAAATATCAACAGAATTAGATTGAAACTAAAAACTAGTTGATTAGTTACAAGACAGGATTCTATCAAAGATCGAAATAATTATTTCCATATTTGTTATTATTTCATCTACGTACCATCAAGTCAATACTTGCCACCACAGTGATGTTGTAGAAAGTTAGGGAACTCGGTAACAGTTCATAAATTCCTTCACTGGTGAACTGGACTGTAGGTAGATGCATACTACCTGGTTGGGTACACGTGTTTATTTTATCTAATAGTTCGAGACATTCAGTGACATGACCAAAAAGCGGTTGCAATGGTGGAAATTTTCGTACGCCTTCAGTGTGAAAATTATCTCACTCCTTTATTTAATAAAGTTATTCTTTCTTCTCAAATTATCTTACTTAAAACTAATCCTTTCCACTACCATTACTACCTTTACTAATCTAACATTTCATCTTGTTATACTGTCTTCCTGTCTTCCAGAGTTTGTGTCTTTCAAACACCAGAAACAATAAAAATACACATGAATAAGCCTAACGTTTGGGTAGAGAAAGTATTTATTAAGGTTACAACTAATTTATGGTGGCTTTATATACTTGATTACACATATGTTTCTGAGATTGCAAACTTATCCTATCTGTTTTTTGATTCGTACATAACTAGCTCTAATAATTAACTAATTAAGTAGACTCGTTTAAGTTCTAGTTTAGAGTCTGATAAGTTAATAGCTGATTAATATCTATACAGTGGGCATTGAATTACATTTTTGAATCGGCCCACAATAATCGATTATGTACTAAATAAAAACCTATATATTTAGCTAGAGGCATGATGAGGAACTAATCGAAAAGAAGTATTAGTATGGAAGAAACAAGATGATGGAACTTTCGTATGAAAATACAGTGAGAGGTAAAAAATAAACAACAATAATACTATATTAAATCGGTTCAAGCTGTTACACTTATAATATTAGATCTTTTCATTATAGACTGATATAAGTTGGACAATTAATCAAAAATTAAAGATTTATCTATTTAATAAACATTTCTTTTATCAAATGGTATAGAAACAAGAGCATATTCTTGTCTTTAGATTAAGCTACTACCAAATCTCTGAGAGAACTCCACCAGAAGCCGTACTGCAGTCCCATAATCCGGGCAACAGGGGAGGGTTGGGCTTGAGGTTGGCGACTCCATCCCGTAGAAAACTCGCCAGACAAACGCTAACCAGAAAAATCAGTTCAAACCATTTTAACTCTGCCCTGGGAGTTAGAAAGTCTTCTTTCAGAAGAGTTATGACGTCTCATGATGAAAGCCAAGTTCCTTCAGAAGTCACGAGGCCGATGACCCTCCTGACAACCAGAGCAACCTTTCTTTTAGGTACATGGAACGTTGTGGGAGAGAGGAAGACTATTGCAAGTCGATGCAGAAATGAAAAGATACAGCCTGGAGGTGCTTGAAATCAGTGAAACGCATTGGATGTGGGTTGAACAACTGAAACTAACCTCAGGAGAGCTGCTGTTATACTCCGGCCATGAAGAAGAAAATGCCTCACATACACAAGGAGTTACACTGTAGCTGTCCAAACGAGCACAAAAGCACTGCTGATAGGATGGGAATCTCATGGACCCGGGATCATCAGAGCATCCTTTAAAACAAAGAAAGAGGGGATTACAGTGAACGTCGTCCAGTGCTATGGACCTATCAACGACTACAATGACGAATTTAAAGGTCAATTATACGAGGCTGCAGTCAGTCGCTGACAAATGCTCATTGAAGGATTTGACGATTCTAATGAAATATCTAAACGCCAAGGTTGGCATGGACAACACTGGATATGAAGATATAACGGCACATGGACTGGGAACAAGGAACGAAAATGCTGAGAGATTTGCAAACCTATTTGCATTGAACAAACTGGTCATCGGCGGCACAGTATTCCCACACAAACGCATTCACAAAGCTTCATGGATTTTACCGGATCACACTACCCAGAAGCAAATCGACCATATCTGTATCTGTAAAAAGCTAGGAAGGACCATGGAGAGAATGAGAACAAAGAAAGGAGCTGCTATAGTCTCGGATCACCACTTGCTGGTCGCCAAAATGAAACTAAAACTGGACAACACTGGACAACGGGGCAGACAACGTCACAGAAGTTTAATACGGCCTTTCTTCGGCATACGGTAAAACTCAACGAATTCAAGATAGCCCTCAGCAATAAGTTCCTGGTTTTGCACAATATACTCAATAGAAAGGAAACAACCATAGAGAACAATTGTAAAAGGATCAAGGAGGCAATCACTTGAACATGTTAGGAGGTTCTGGGTCATAAGAAACACCATCACAAGGAATGGATCTCTGCTGGCACTCTTGGAAAAATTAAAAAAAGGGGGAACAAGAGAGCATCAATCAATGTCAGCCGAACAAGAGCAGAGAAAGTAAAGGCACAAGCTGCATACACAGAGGCAAACAGGGAAGTGAAGAAGAACATCAGAGCTGACAAACGAAAATATGTGGAGGATCCAGCAACGACGGTGGAAAAGGCTGTACGAGAAGGAAACATGAGACAACTGGACGATACAACAAAGAAGCTCACTGGAAACTAACGTAAACTAAAACGACCAGTGGAAAGCAAAGAGGGCAAAGTAATCAGCAAAACTGAGGAACAGCGAGACAGGTGGGTAGAGCACTTTAAGGAACTTTTGAATCGACTAGCTTTACTGAACCCACCCAACATTGAAGCAGCATGCAGGGCCCTCCCAATCGATGTTGACCTACCAACAATTGAATAGATTAGTATGACCATTAGACAAATGAAGAGCGGCAAAGCAGCGGGAGCAGACAACAATCCAGCAGAGGCCCTGAAACCAGACGTAGCAGCAACTGCAAAGATACTCCACATTCACTTGGAAGCCTGAAGGTCAAAGGAAAAGAGGAAGGCCAAGGAACATATTACGCCTAGTAATGGAGACAGACATGAAAAGAATGAACAAATATTGGACAGAACTGGAAAGGGATGCCGAGGACAGACTAAGTTGGAGAATACTGTTTGGCGGCCTATGTTGCATTGGGAGGTTACAGGCGTTAGTAGTGGTAAGTAAATTTATAAAAGTAGTTTTCCTTGATTTACGCGACAGACTAACTGTAAAATAGGTATGTTCATTTTAGTTGTATTTTGTTCTACACTGAGTTATTTGGTTGTAGAAATTTTATTGCCATTATGAACAACATCATTAACAACTACTTCACGTAAAAGTGGGCTTTTCACTTTACAGGAATACAATGACAAATAAAACGAAGCCACAGAAAATAACCATCAACGAATAAATTAATCGGATTTTACATTTATAGATTAATTAAATGGTTTACTTTTGCATATAGTTATGTT